CACCCACTTTGTCTTCAGCGGTTGTGTCGCAAAAGTGAGCATCATAGAATGTCAGTTTAATAGAAGAAAGTATTCTTGCATTGAGGGAGTACTTAAGTTGAGACCCAATGTCCATCTGCTACCTTAATGCTAAACCTATAAGTATATGCACATAGATCTATTTCCCCATCCTCATATATTAATCTGTAAGAATCAGGTGTTTAGGAATGTTGTCTTCAACCCAGAAGACAAAGAAAGGAAATATCTGGCTGGTGGAGCTCAGAAGAATATAGTCTATTCATGATGCCACTAAATATGAATCTCCCTAATTTTTTCTTTTTCAGTTTATTTATGTGAATCAGTCCTTTGCCCCTTCCCCAGACCAGGAAGTTGGAACACTCTATGAGGTACCTTTTTTTGTCCTTAATAGAGTATGCACATCTGTGTATAATATGATCATTAATTTCCAGCTTATTACATGCTGTTCTTATCTATAGAGGAAGAAGCAATAGTTGTCGTCATCTGTTTCTCAACATCTTAAATGTAACAGAATATCAATAAATTATATAAAGAATGAGTAATTAAAAAAATAACACAAACAAAAGATAGCTTTGAAGTATATACTCAAGGTCTGTTCTTTACCTGCATTCAGTAATCCAGATCTACCTCCAAGGAGCTTGAAAAGGATATTACATGAAACCAAGACTTTTCTTAACAACGTAGTTGTATTAATCATTAATGTATAAGCATTAAGACCACTACTTAAATACAGAAGATGTCTGTACTACAGGTGGAGATGTAGAGAAGTGATAAAAATTATGTAAGCTTGTCCGTGCCTCAGGTAATTAAAGAGCAGGTTTTATGAAATATTTATGATTATTGATGGGATTTCCTTCAAGAGATGCATGATAGCAGTAAATGTCTCTTAGAAGAAATATCTGAATTTTTGCAAGGATATTTTTGAAACATTGGTTTTGCTTGTTATTGTCTTTCATCTAAGAACAAGTTGAATTTAATTACCGTCCTGTTTTTGTTGTGTTTTCTGGTAGTGTTTTGGTAGTGATGGTAAACTGGTCTTACATTACTGCAAGTCCCAGGCCTGGGGATGAACCACAAAGAAAAACAACTTGCAACGGAATCATCCCAAAGGAAAAAGTCCTGAAAAGCTTTGGTGTTTGTGGCCAAAGATTTTAAGGATAATGACCTGCTATCAGCTTGTATCTACTGCGACCAGTTGTTTATGCACAAGAAATCATCTAGAGTAGATGCCCCAAAATGGAACTTGTATTCATATGCACCACATCATGGAAGATTAGGGTATACCAATTGCTGCTACAATCAGTGATCCAGACCTGCCTCCAAGGAACTGAAGAGGAGATTAAGGAAATATAAAGCTTTCCGTATTACAAGTTCTCAAAATGACAAGACAGCTTGCTGCTGCTGTATTAGCACTCTTTTGTTTTGGGTTGTTTTCCATCCAAAAGTTTATTTACTAAAGAGTTGGTGTTTTAGTTTCTGTTTGTTTTTATCTATTCTAAGAAATTTGGTTTGCCTGTGTCTTGTCTCATTTTCACTTATAGCTACTGTGTTACTGTAAAAGAAAGTCATGTTCACCTGCTGCTTTTATACCTTTCCTAGACCAGAGGGGGGCAGTCAATCCCCAAGTAGATTAGGCAGCAGAGCAGTTGAACTTCTTTGCCAGCAACAATGAAGGGAGAGGAAAAGGAATGCCCACTACTTTTTAGTAAACAGGCAGGAGAGCAGTTTTGACAAATTCAAAGAATGTCGTAGAGAATGAAAGTCTATTGTTTAAAATGAAGTATTTTCTTGGGAAACAATGTACAAATTCTAGAAAAATAACTCTCAGCTCTTTTCAGTCCTGCCGTGTCATGATTCTTGATGGCACTGTAAGTACTCAAGTAATCTTAGCAACGTATTTTGAGTTTTACGTGGTGTATTTTCCAGCCTGAAAGCCCTCAAAGAATAGTTGAAACATAGCCTTGTTTTATATTTTTGTATGTATTTCATGCTATAAGACTCAAAGTACCTTCATACTAATGGTATTAGATAGTTGCTGAAAGGGCAATTTGATGTACTCCTTTATTTTGTATTATGCTTGTAATGCAACTTTTTAAAAATATCCCATTCAACTAAACAAATGGGCTCAGAAAATAAATAACATCACTGTGAGTTCCATGCTTGTTTAAAAAAATCATCCATGTGTGACCAGTCAGCATTTACCCTAAATCAAAGATACGAGAACAAACAGATGTGACTTGGAAGAAATACAACTGGACTGTTCCTTAGAAGCAAAGATGGTAACATTTCATCTCACATGCATTGGACGTGATATTAGGAAAGACCAATCCTTGGAGAAGGACATGCTTGGTAAAGTGGAACAGCGGCAAGAAGGAAGACTCTTGACCAGATGGGTTTGCACAGTGGCTCCAACAGTGGGCTCAGATAGAAACAATTGTGGGGGGGGTGGGGGGCGCAGGGTTGAGTGGTGTTTTGTTCTGTGTTATATAGAGAGAGTCACTGTGTGTCCAAAGCAGCTGATGGCATTAACAAGGAAGAGAAGGGAAGATGGAGGCAGGAAAACCAAATTGATGGAACAACCAGAACAGAAATGTGAGAATGGTGACATGTCATATCACTGAGCAGTATGTATAGAACTTGTTCAATAGACATCTAATTTGCTATGTAAATTTTTACGAAAACAATAAAATATTATAATGAAACAACCAGACAAAATCCCAATAAATTGAATAGAACATCCAAACGATCAATTCCAGCTTATAGCTGCCTACCTTCTAGGACAGAGTAGAACTGTTCCGATGGGTATCCGAGGCTAAACCTTTAAAGGAGTACAAAGTTTCATCCTTTTCTGACATATGAGCTCATAGGTTCAAACTGCTGACCTTGTGATTAGCAGCCCATTGAGTAACCCACTATACCACTAGAGCTCCATAGGGCCCTTAGATCCCAGTATGCATTTTAGGTTAGCGACCTGTCATACTTTTTAGCATTAGGGGAGGCTAAGAAACAATGTCCTATATAATGTTGAAATTGTTATTTCTCATTCTCTGGCTAAGGATTCTTGCGTTTCCTTATATATAATTAGCCCTGAAATAGTAATGACAAGTTGAATTTTAGAAACGTGCACTACTCGGTAGGTATTTATATATGCTCGATGCTAGGAAAGCATGTATTCCAATCTTAACATTTGGATCTAGAAATGACCTGTTTTCTTTGCCCACCTACAGTTTATTGAATTGCATGTATTTATTCATACATATGCATATTGAGTAATAAAAATGAATTTATGTACTATGTTTGCTTCTAAAGGTTTTGGATGATTTACTACCTCAGCAATAAAAAATTCCTTGAGTTTGAATTTGTAACATCAATTTTTTTAAGCAATTTATTACATTATTAAACCTAAAGTTAGCTAAATTTGTGTGCCTGTTCCCCACCCCCCTAAACTTTTTAGGATATAGAAACATACCACATTTGGGCAAATCCAACTACATATAGGTGATTGAATTTTTTAAATCCTCAAATATAAATAAAAATAAATCCTCATTTGGAGAACTGGGTGTAATTAACATGATAGCTCACATATGTGCCATGTCTCATAAAGCAATCGTACTGCCAGACATAATGGGACAGTACTTAAAAACCTTTAATGCATGTTTGATAATTATAAACACAAGTTAGTGGCTTATGTATGTACTATAATTCTATCATTTTAATGTGAACTTTCCCTACTTCCAAATTTTAAAAGTACTGTACAGTGAACCCTCGCCACTTCGCGCTTCGACTTCCGCGGCTTCCCTGTATCGCAGTTTTTGCGTAACAGCACCCACTGCCTACACCTGCTCCTTCAGAGGAAAAAGACGGCGACCCACCTGTAGAGTACATCCCTTATGTCATTTCATAGGCTATTGATTACAGTATTTGTAAGAACTATGTATAATAATACTGTGTGAAATATACTGTAAACGATGCCATAAATAATATAAATGATAATTGTAACATCCAAAATGTTTTACTGTATTTTCCCTTTTTCGTTTAATAAATTGGGTAATACGAGTGTAATGGTGACTAAAGGGTGTTTTTTCATGTCCTCTATGCTCTAACTACGAAAATATTTGATTTACAAATAAGGAATCCTACTTCGCGGAATTTTACTTATCACGGTAGGGTCTAGAACCGATTAACCGCGACAAACGAGGGTTCACTATATAACTGCATGCTTTGATTCCTAGGAAGCAGCACCGAATCTCATATAATTAATCACCACCAGAGTGGTGGTGTGTTCTCTCATTTGAAAATACACCGTTAAGTGCATAATGGCTCCTAACGCACCAAAGGCAGTAAAACTGGTGCTAGCAGTATTGATTTGGAAATGAAACAAGGTTATTAACACAAAGGTGGCTGCTCAGTGAATACTGTTAGGTGCAATTTAGGCATGTTCATATCCAAGTCACAGAAACTATGTTTACATTATCTTCAATCATTACCCAAATAATAGCATTGGACTACTAACAACAAGGTCAGCAGTTCGAAACCACCAGCTGCTCCTTGGAACAAAGATGAGGCTTTCTACTCCAATAAAGATTTTTGTCTCTGAAACCCGCAGGGGCAGTTCTACTCTGTCCAGTAGGATCACTGTGAGTCAGAATTGATTCAATGGCAGTGAATGAATGAGTGAACTTTGCTTTACTTGGTTACTAGCTTAGATGAATCATGTAAGTTATTGAGTGACTTGAACTTAAAGCATATTTTTGTATGCATCTGGTTTACATTACCTTAATGTTCATTGGGTTGTGGAGGGTGGAGTGGTTAGACCCAGGCTATGTTTTAATTTTTCCGTATTTGAGAAAATAGATGCCAATATAAATATGCTTTATTTTATAAAGCAAAGGTGACCCAGCATACAAAGTATACACAGAATGAGGGTGTTGTATATCTTCAAAGGGACCTACACTTAAGACTCTTTGGGTAGATAAGACTGTTTAGTTGTAGACAGATGATTAAGGCTGGATTGTTCCTTGGAATATATCATTTTCTAGAAGTTTTAACCCTGACGAGATCTTACATAACACCTAATTAAATTAGTGGAAATATGCAGGATCCGCCTCAGATTGTGTGTGATTACTTTGTGTGAGCTTCAGAAGTAAAGCTCCAGGCCTTTTGTACGATATGACCCGCCAACCTTTAAGTTAGTAGTCAAGCACTTTGCCGTTTGCACCACTGCACATCTGCCTTAGCCAAAAATTGCAGTTATCTATCATTCAAATCATAGTACTACCTGATTGCCTTCCTTGTATCTGCTCATGCCCTTCAAGGGAACTTAAGAAAGTTTGTGGGGAAGTGGAATAGAAAGACAATAGAAAAGATAATTAAAAGATGAGCATGATTACATATTTCTGAAGTGCCGTATATACTCGTGTATTGGCCGAGTTTTTCAGCACATTTTTAATGCCGTTTCTGTGGTAAAACTAGGTGCGTCAGCTGATATTCGGGTTGGTTTATACTCCTGTATGCCTGGTACCTCATGCCGACACAGCAATGAACCAAAATGCTGGAATGACATCCTTAACTGGCCTGTCATGAATGACCTCTCACAGTCCCTACCTCCAGACCCTGCCACCCACATCAAGGAAAGAAGGGAATGACTTGGTTCATGCCTTCTACTTTAAAAAGCAATCTCGTATTGACCCAGTAAGGGGCAGAGTAGTCCCCCTTAGGTCGCGACCTAACACACACACACACACACACACACACACACACACACACGAGGTTCTGACTCACAGAGACCCTGTAGGGCAGAGTAAAACTGTCCCCCTTAGTTCGCAACCTAACATACACACACACACACACAATGTTCTGACTCACAGAGACCCTGTAGGGCAGAGTAAAACTGTCCCCCTTAGTTTGCAACCTAACACACACAAGAGGTTCTGACTCAGTGACCCCGTAGGGCAGAGTAGACCTGTCCCCGTGGAACACCTTTTCTTTCATGGAGCTGCCGGGTGTAGTTTCATGTAGAACCCACTACGCCTCCATTGCTCTTGCCTCTACTAAAGTCAGGACAATCCTGCCCATTAGTATTCAGAGAACTCCCTCCAAACTGGGGTTATAGACATAAAGTCTAGAATTCTATAAGGAATTGTGGCTAAAAGGGTCATGATACTTGACTACATCTGATCCACAAAACAACTGTCCACCGTCTGCTCCCACTCTGCTTTGTTTTTGTCTGTTGTCTTGTGTTTACAGTTTTTGTGCATGCATTTCTCCATTTTAAGACGTATTTGTGGTATATCTTCTTCCTCCATTCCAATGAAAACCCTTTGAAAGTGATGACTTTGGGGGTTGGGGGGTTGTTTTGCACTACAGTGCTCGCTACATAAACATGCTTTTAAAAATGTATGGATAT